TGAAACTTTTTTTAGGAGCAAGTTGTTTGATAACCTATTCATTATCAGTAGCAATGGTTTGACATCATCAAAACCTTCGTCTTCTGTTTCTGCCTCCTCTGCAAGCCATTCTGATTCTACGTAACTCATGTTGTGTCTACAAAAAATAGTGAAATAATCAATAATTTAAAGTATATTACGTAAAATAAAGTAATTATCTAAGTAATATACTACAAATAACATGAAATATTCACCCAAGTTTCAATTTCATTCCGTGAATTTTTCTGGAACACGACCGGTTGCGTGTGGAATCTGAGACCGCAAACACAAATGAAGACACGTGCCCTTGCGACGAATGTCACAGGGCTCCTAAGAGGAAGTACGTCACCCCCTCGAGGGTATCACGGTCGCGCAACTGTTTATTGTTTATAGTTTTTGTAAAATGACTAAAATAAAGTCGCTGCGGTCTCTGAGACCGCTGGAAGGTTAAATTACAAAGATCTGTGGAGCACTCCCACTGCACCCGTCACCCTGAGACATAAGTTGATAAGTCCTCACCCTTGCTTTTCAAAACGCAGCAATGCTCACATTATGGCTTGGCCGCGGAAATAGGTAAGCTGGCAACGTCACTGAAGAAATTCTTTCACAAGGAGCTATAGTGCTAATGAAATACATTAATATAATATGTAATGGCCTTACAAAAGTACAAAAATAACAAAGTTTTGTCTTATTTGTAAAAGCATGGAAAATAGGCTTACAAAGCGCAATGGATTACCTTATGATAGTCGACTGTTTTTTTTTAAATATTTATATCGATAATATATATCTATTATGCAAAATTCATAAATAAACTATGTAGAAATAAAATTAATAACTTATTATGTTAACGGAATATAATTATTAAGATACACACGTCAACAGTGTCTAGGGATCAAGGATCAATCTTAGAATAATAACGCATAGAAACCTAGTCCGCACACGCTAAGTGAGGCAAATTGAAGCGCCCCCAATGGCCTACACGAGCGGGCGGGCCGTCAGTGCTCAAGGTCAACTTGCACCGCGAACAGCTCAAGGATTTTAGCTAAAAATGACGAAATGTACGGTAAATGAGTGTAGAGTAGAAACATAAAATAGATACTAACATCACATTCCACAAGGAAGTAACGCGTTTCAACTTGTATTTTTATATAAATATTCACTAAAACCGAAAATTAACCTACTACTAAAACTAGCCTACATGAATTTGATTTTTGCCTCACTTGTGACAGTTCGTTTGATATGAAACTATCATTCTATGCGTTATTATTCTAAGGGATCAATTTAATTTTCAAATTCAAATTATAAATTGACTAAAAAATCCATCGGTGTTAAAAAAAAATTAAAACACTTGATTTTCTTAATTGGCCTGCCCTTTTCATTTTAATAATTAATGACCACTTTTTTATTATGCATATAACAGAATAGAAAATCATTTACATATGACACACCCACACACACCATAACCCCACAAAGACACCATATAACTACAATACATAATGAATTACGTCTACACTACAAAACTTGATTTGTATGACTCATTAAAATAAAAGGTAATAAAAAAGTAAAATAAATAAGTTATTTAACTAATAAATAATAAGCGTAATATGTATGCATTATGTGCGCTTAGCTGTTACGGAATTCGTCATTAATTTGGCTTAATTGTCGTCTTAACGAAAGTGCTACGACGCTGACTTCAGTGGACCAACAATAACACACGTGCTACGACATACATAGCACGCCTGCTACGGTCCGTGCTACGTGTATGAACTTCTGATTTTTAATCATCTCAGTTGCGTGTGGATAGAGAATGGCAACATTTTGTACGTTCGGTATTCTGGTTAGAGTGTCAGTAGCTAGCCACTACTTTCACTTTAACCAGAATCAACCAACTGTGTCAGTTATTCGATATATAGAGTGATTGCTTCAGAATTTCAATTAAACAGTTTTGTTTACTTTTTGTTCAAAATGGACTGGAACATATTTTTTTTATGAAATACAGGTGTTAAGGTGGTTTTCCACCGGCGAGTCACGGCGAGACGAGGATTGAAATGTGTATGACAATATTTAAATTCTCAGCTAGCCCATCGTCGGTGAAATGGTCTGAATTGATGATACTGCTGCCTACTTAGAGTATTATACTCTGCAATGGAAACACGATTTTTGCGCGAGTTAGCGATAGCTGTTAATATCAATCGCGAGATTGTGGGGTATGTACGATTTGAGATTTAAAAAAAGATGGTTTCATCTGATTCTGCATCCGTTAACATATTTCATAATAATATTAATTTACGGAATATGTTACTTCAGCTAACCTCGTTGTTTGTATTCAAAAAACGCAAAATAGGCGCCTTGTCGTCGAGTTGCGGACACCTGCCCGTTACACCAAGTACCAAGTTGTATTCAAATAATTACTCAAAGAGTGTCTGCTAAGTCTTCAAAGATATCCATCGTAGGTGCTGATGTGCCGGGGACATATTATACGGTTTTAGTTTAATAATGTTCGTCCGTTTAATTGTAATCAAACTTCCCAATTAAAGCTTAATTTTATAATTATATCAAATAAAATATATACACGTTCCTATTTTATCATATTAATTTCCATTCAATCGCATTGTAATTTGTTGCACATGACACATGATACCTATTAAATGGTAACTACAATAATTGTATCTTAATAGAAGAGACTGTTCATGTTTTGTGTTTAAATTAATATAATTGTGTGCTTGTGTCATCCAATGCCTTTAGTGTCGCCTAATATGTTCCGTGTCATGTGTGTTCTGTTGCCGGATCCGCTGAAAATCAGAGTCGTAGCACTTGAATGTGAGGCGACAACAAGCTGAGTGGGTAACGGTTTCCTTAACATCACAGCACACACGTTTTGTTCTCTATATATTATATTTAGTTTCAAATTCTTAGGTTATTATTACCATCATTATCACTATCATTAATATTATTATTATTATAAAAGGTATGTGTTGATTGTTCAAGGAATAAATGATTTCGATTCTATTGTATTCTATTCAGCTGCATATTTAGGGCGAGCAATTCTTGAACCTGTGTCCGTGGCCCCGAACGACTGTGCCACAGCCGGTAAATACCACCTCTACCATTAAAAAAAATATTTTAGGCCATGGGAGAGGGGAAAGTGTGAAATATATATTCACATAAATATATTCACTTGGTATTTTATTATAAAAGCGCACACAGTTTCCCAAGAAAGATTAGTTTAATTTCTGCAATCTAGATTGTGGAAGTGCCAGTTTATTTTTATTTCTAAATGAAAATTGTGTATTTTGTAATTTTCGGGGAATAAATGGATATTTTTTTCTATGTACATTATATTAGCGTAAATGTATTGACAAGTTACTGTCATTGTTTTAATTTCCACAATCCTTTAAATCCTACTTAACCTCATCAACGACAAATTTTGATTATCAGTCGGAATCTTATAAAAGAAGCGTATATATTGTCCCTTAAATCAATTTGAGACTTGAAACGACTGCCAAGAACAGCTAGTTTATTTTTATTCCTTATGGTAGTAATGTATTCATATTATAAATATTTAATTCGAAGACTAAATTGCTGATTAAACGATATAAAAATTGAGATTTGCGTAGCAATTTCCATGGTAGTTTTAGTAAGGTCACTTAAGGACGGAATTAACACCGTCAGTGCCATTCCACTGACACTATTGAGACTCGACTGCCATTGCAATTAGATTTTAGCAGAATAGCAAATATGTATTATATATTTGCAATATAATCTCAATGGCCAATGACCAGTGAACAGTGACAATGACCGAAAAAATTGTAGAATTGGACCCCAGGTGTGTAACTAAATATATTGTCAAATAATGCACTCTATTTCCATATAATTCATTTAATACACAAAATATATGTTTACATAATGTACACAACATGTATGTATTTATCTACACATACATCATAAACCCTACAAGATGTATTCAAAAACCGCAAATTACAGCCAGCATAAACATAAATTGTTTTGTTAGAACAAATTTCTCATCTGTGCAAATATTCTTGTTGCTTAGAAAATAGCATTAAATTCGAAATGAAATGTCAATAGCAAACAATTTTGACAAATTTCACACGCTACTTGATATCGAACAATATGATAGTTGGGGCCGATTTTAGTTTGCCTATAAATTAAATAAAAACCACGGTTGTGTGACAGGAAAGTTTCTATTTGCCGCCATATTGCCTGGTTTCTGAACATATCATAGAGAGTTTATAATATGTGTATAGATAAAGTAGTATATATAAGTGTACATAATTAGGCATTAAAACACTCGCCTGACCCACACTCGTATTTTAATGCCTCTTGTAACAGTCACATAAACTACTCTTAGTAAATTGTGAAATAATGGGGAAATATTCTTATTTAGATATTTAAATATTTGTTGACAATTAAATAAACAACTAATAATTAATAAATACAACCTCGACGCATCAACATTAGATATAAATTTGTTCAAAGCACCACTACAGACGCGTCTGCATGTGTGCGAGCTCGTGGGAGGTGATCGGTAAGGCGATTATCACACTGTTTCGCCCCGAAACGTTGTGCGAAGCTGCGTTTTTTATAGTTGTACCGAAGTATCTCAGTTGTAGACAACAACGCGTCTCCGCGCGGGAGTGGGGAGTGGGGCGCATGATGATCCGTCGCCCCGTACACTTCGATGCGTGGTACGGGGCAGTGTGATAATCGCCTAAAATCACAGACGGTGGCGGAATTTTATTGTACTTTGTTATTTTGAATAAGAGTTGTTGAAACACGGCTTTCCTCGTTTTCATATAACATAAAATAAACTGTAATAACAAAATATTGAAGCCCAAAATGGTCTCCCTAGAACATTTGCCGGGTGGTGCTTGCAAAACAACCCGATACTGATGTTACGTTTACGTTTACGTTTTTTTTTGGAATTACCTACTACTTTAACACTTTGAATTGTTTGTTACCAGGCGAGAAGATAGAAGCAAAAAGTCACGATGACGTCACGATGCTCTTTAGTGATATCGTTGGATTTACGTCCATATGTGCAACAGCTACGCCAATGATGGTCATAGCTATGTTGGAAGACTTGTACAGCGTGTTCGACAAGTTTTGTGAAGATATTGATGTTTACAAGGTAAGCATTAGATGTTCATTCTAACAAGTAGGCATATGCAATTCCTTCAATTTTAAAGTCTCTTTTGAAGAATTATTACCTGCGACTGATCCCCTGGTGGATCAACAAAAGATATAAATCCTTAATTCCTACTTGATAGTACACAAACTTATTTTTCATTATTATCAATTTTTCTATTTTTACACGATGTCAGAATTATTTTTAATAAAAAATTGTTTTGCATTATATTTTTAAAAGTTCAGGCTAAGAGTTTTACGGGAAAATGTGAATAAATTTATTCAGTAAATAGAAACTCTTTTAAATAATTAAAACATCACTACATTATTAGCAGCTGGTCGATGAGGCCGAAAAGTTGTCAAGTGGCGATCACGTAATCAGGCCATGTATACGTTGCGGGAAACTGCTGCATGCGAGATGCTTTCTGAGGAAGTCATATGTCCAGCAGTGTATGTTTTTTGTCTGCAGTGATGATGATGATGTTGTTATCATATTGTTATTTATCATGTTATAATATTATTATTAACTATATCTAAACCGTAACGTTAAAATTTTAATTGCATAGTTATGTGTGGTTAAAATGCTTGGATACTCACTTAAATTTACGTAATAATATACCTCCAATAAACACTTCGCGAACTTAATTTTTGGACTTGTTCTGTTTTCATTTTGTTTTTGTTTCTTTATTTAACCGACTTCAAAAAAGGGAAATGTTCTCAATTTGACTGTATGTTTTTTTTGTATGTATTTTATGCGATAACAGCGTAATAACCCGATAATGTAGTATCACGTATAAAATGTTTTTATTCTTTAAATGTAATCTTGTTGCTTCACAATTGAGAAGTCTACGTTCGAATCTTTGTACATTATTACGTACCTTTAAGAAAGTTGCAATAATCTCGCTATCGGTGACGGAAAATATCGTGATGAACCTGGACGTCGAAGAAGGTTCACTACCTTTGCGAAACGTGTGACCTAAACCCTCTTCTTAACGCAGACCCGTGACCTTGCAGTGAGACGTGTAATGGATTAACGATTTAGATGCAATCTGAAATATAAATTTACAGTGTGTTATGTTACAAACCATATAAACGTCTAACATACTCTTTAGTCTTCTAACATTAATTACTATGTGAAATTTATTATATATTATTGATACAAATATTGAATAAACCGAAACCTTCAATGAACACATACAACATAACCCCGCACTAGGGAAAACCTGTGTCGCGGGTGCCATGGACACACACATAAACAACCACAAATTACACCCAAACTCACTAGAGCAATAAATGTAGGCCATACAAATATTTCTCCCGGCCTGGGAATCGAACCTGGGACCTCTGCGTCCGGCATGATAACCGTTCGGCTACGGAGGCAGTTAATATCACTAAAAAAAATTATTTTATTTTTTTATTGATAAAAATGAATATTACTCTCTGAATTTCAAATAGGGAAATTTGTGCATGCATTATAAAATTAACAGTATTCAAAGTGTTCCATTGCAGATCCCTGTAAAGTCAGAGATGCCAAATGAAGATTAACATTTCAAATCTTTCTCATTTAACAAAAAAAAATGTTTCTGGCAAAGAGCTTGTCTTTCAAAACGAATCTATTCCTATCAATCGTGTAAAGGACTGATATTAACGTTCATTTCGGAGCGTTTTGGTATATCTGTATTAATTAGTCAAATTGAATTAGTGGCCTAAATTTGTTATTTCGTAACTTGCTGATGGTTCAAATCTAATTAGTCGGCCATTAGTGGCTATAATGCCAAATAACCGACCGATATTTTCAAGGAAATTTTTGGAAAAATGTAAAATAAAATAAGATGGTGGTGCCGGTGTAGCAATTGACGCTGATTCGAGATCAGCAGATTGACGGCATTTGACTTTGAGTTGTTTCGATCTTTTTATCAATTATGATTACAGACTCAACATCAACCCGTTTAAAAGTCCCACTGCTGGGCACGGGTCTCCTCTCAGGCGAGGGTTTAGGCCATAGTCCGCCACGCTAGCCCAATGCGGGTTCGGGGATTTAACACGTTTTCCAAAGGTTGTGAACCTTCTCCATCACGACGTTTTGTTTCATCGAAAACCTCGTGGTAAATTCCAAATTAAATATCGCACATAAATTTCGAGAATCTCGGAGGTGCCCGGATTAGAACCCACGGTCTATGCTTGAGAGGTGGTAGATCAAGCCATAAGGCTATCACTGCTGTTATGTGTCTGAATAACAACAGACTACCATTATTTACTTTATTGAATATCAGCGAATAATAGGTTTTTACTACCATTATTTTCGTATATTCTTATAAGAAATTACTCCACTAGCCCGTGAAAATAATTACACCGACGATGACGCCGGGTCATCGTGACCCGAATTACATCGATAATTTTTTTGTAAAATTGAAGTAGTTGTCTAAATTTTAACAAATACGTATTATGTAAGGGTTCTCAAAACATATATTGAAATAAAAATAATAACAATAAATTGTATAAATAAATATTTAATTAGCGTTCTCAATAACACGTGCAAAATCAACATTGAAAATATAATTTTGATATTTCTTTTATTTTTAGTAAAGTATTCTGAATAATAATATACTAAAAGAAAGGTCACTCAAACTTATTATTAGAAATTAGTCTTCTATATCCTCAATCAGAGACGTACAACTGCTGCAACTATTGCAGTACCTTACCATATGATCCGGGCATATAATAGGTAGTGTATGTAAATCTAGCGTGCATTACATGTATGAGATGTTTTTTTATCCCTTTTGAACGGACATACTTGACATCTCTCGCGAGTGCCAGAGGTTGGACTGTATGTATTGGGCAAATTTGCATCGTCCTTTGAATACCACCAGCATCTCATCAATAGTGCAGTTTTCGCCCGCAGGATATATTTTTGGCATTGTTTAACAAATGTTTTGGAAAGTTCACGTGTTGGTGCCAAATGATTAAATTGATTTTTTTTTTACAAAAATACTACGCCAGGGATGACGCTGGCGTGTGCCGTTTTGATTTAACGCACGTATTACTTGGCTGCGCAGATGGCTTCACACTTAGTACACTAGAGAGTCGGGTAGATGAGGGTTGTATCTCCAGCTACTCAAACGTTGGAATAGTGCAATTGGCGTAAAACAAAAATATGCCCGTTGTAAATCGCCTCGGGTCAATATGACCCGTCGAGTATATAACCAGAAATAGAGATGAAATAAGGGCCATATATTCCTGGTAACATATTAGCGATACAGCTCTTATAAATATCAACTCCCGTTTGCATTGAAATATAGACAGGCTAACTACTGACCTGTGTGTACGTCTTGGTATATTCCAAAAAATATTCTGTATTTATTGTAATAAAGATAATATCTCTAACAATGCCGTGCTGTTCTATTCGGTGGTGTGGGAAAAACAGCAAAACATCTAATTACAAAACAAACGGAATCACATTTCATCGGCAATTAAATATTAAATATGTAATTTTGCAAATTTTCCATTATAGCAAAGCTCAAGTTATCTGGTCGATTTGAAGTGAAACAGTTGACAACACCCATTGACGACACGCGTCAATTGTTTCGAACTAGGGCTAGCCAATCGCAGTTGTCACAGTAATGATATGGCAGAATAGTTTTCAAACAAATTAAAAGACATTTCTTCTCTATTTCTGGTTATACACTCGATGTTTATACATTATAAAATCCATTGGTACATTTTATTCATATTATTGTTGACATTAAATTGACAATGATAACTAATTGTGTTTGTTAAATTATTTTAATTCGTCGAAGAACTTAAATAATTTCAATAATCACTTAATTACACAAAATAAAAGTACAAGCAAGAATAAAATTGATGAGGAATAAAAGTGATAAATTTATAACGCAACTAGGGGATGAATCCGGGTTTGCGCACTTTCGGTAACCGATTTCAATAAAACTTGGTAATTCTACATACTTTTGAGACCGGTTCTTTTAGTACTCTGTACTGAGATTATCTTTCATCTACTATTTTCCTCGCTATAGTGAGGTGAAAAGTTGTTTTGCGTCTCGTGACTTGAAACCCTCGCTACGCTCAGGAATCTACTTTAGAACCATTCGCTTCGCTCATAGTTCAACCTTAAAAGCCTTGCATAACAAATAACTTTTTTTCCTTATGAAAATTATTCCACAATCCAACACGATCTGGTAGGAGTTTTTCGTTTCGACAATATCAGCTATTTACATGTATACTGTTTTCTTAAGTAACTTCGGTTCTATTCGAGATGTACGTTACATTGGTGACGATTACATTATTACTGCATTTAATTGTGACGTATTAGTTGATATTGTAATTTTCTCGCTCATCAATTTTATGACTGCGATTTAAAATTTACCTTATGTGTTTATATACAAGGTTCGTTTAATGTTATGCAGTGAGGTTCTACATGTAAATGTAAAACGAATGGGCCAGCAATTAAAATGCAATATGTTATTCATGCAATTGTTAAACTCCGTCATACTGGAATAACTCTAAAATTTGAACTTTAGATAATAGTCCTGTTCTATTATGATTTCACTATAAAATTCACTTTCTGATAATGCCAAGTATGGGTGAACGATCGAAAGGTCATTATGTCAAGTCGTATCACGTGATTCTAATACGAAAAATGTGTCAGAAATAAGTACATTGCAATATTTATTTATGAAATCTGTTCGAGGTGTGGTTATAAAATAAGGGCGTTAACTATAGTCAATTTTGTCGACAAAAAACAACCTCATTTATGTGTCAAAACTGGTATTTTTTAAATACAATGCAAAATGGTAAAAAAAAAAAATTTTTTTCATTCATTCTTTTATTGTCACAAATACACAAGTGTAACATAATAACTTTGGCAATATTAGTGAAAACAGTTCTGAAGTTTATCGCTAGATGGCATTGGCGTAGAAAACGCAATTTCAGAATCGCGGTGTTTTAAATTTTCCCTAAACTAATCACCTCTACTCTTACTAGTTTGTAACAATAGTTCCACTGTTTACCACTAGATGACATTAGCATAGAAAACGCAATTTCTGAATCGCGGTGTTAAGATTTTCCCTAAAGGAATTAATTACCTGTCACCAGTATTTTGCATGAAATTGATCGATTCAACGATTGCATTTCTACGGTTATCCTCACTATTAAGCGGAAGCATCTCGAACTCGCGCCCATCTTTCGGAACAGGTTACGAGAACACTTCTGAGTGAGTGTCTTTTTGTAAAACTCGCACCCACCGGGACTTGTCGCGGACTCTGCACCGCGCTTGTTCCCAACGGGACGAATCCATTTTATTGGGCATCCTTGTATTGTAAGCTGTTGTACAATAAACCAAGTCTTCTTCACCACATTTTGTCGTTTGATTCCTGGACGTAGTAAGGGGGCACCAGCTAGCCGAGCGAATCTCTACCACCCTGTACACCCCCTCCTGCTACACAAGGTTATTTTTAAAATACTAACAATCTCGAAGGACTAGTTACTAACGCATAAACAATAACTTATTTCCGTGACTTTTGACAAAATATGATTTAAACATACCAACTTAATACTTAACTTAACTACATAATGTTTTGTACTTTTTGACGTTTTTTAGATCTGTATTTAGTAGTAAGTTTCAACGTGGAAGCGTCCACTCCGACGACTCCCGCGTTTTGCACAGAGTTATCATCATGTTTGTATGAAAGTAAAATCTGATGAATTATTAAAAGTCATGGAACAAAAGTTCTTGTTTATGATGTTAATAATACTGCGAGGTTGTTAGTTGTTTACAATTAATAATATTGTAGATTCTATTTTTATCAAAACTACATGTTCAATCTTTCATAAACAGAGTGCGATACTTATTGTTTTTCCTTTCCATACTTTTCAATTATGATCGTTAAACCAAAGATAGTATGTTAACAGTAGTGTGTCTAAAATATTACTGACTCTACCGTTGATAATGAACAACTTTCCCTAAGAAACTATATCTATTTCGAGATTTTTTGGCTTTTGATATAAATTGTCCAAAAAGTAATTATGATATGTAAATTATGTAGGGTGGCCGCAGTGGAGATGAAGTAAGACGAGAAAATATGATGAATAACTATATTAAATTTCCACAAAGGTATTTCTAAAACTAAATAATTTTGATAACGTCCGAAGTTAAGTACGTTATGTCTAAAAGTACTTATACGAAAAAGGTCTTAACTAAAGGAATTTAGTCTACGTCAGATGTTAGGAACGTTGGGCAGAAAAGTGTCTCATAATTACAATTAAAATGACGAGTTTTGCATTGGTCACGTTGCAATGCACGGGGCGCGCGTTCCCGGGTGCGCGAATGCAAGTGCATTGACCTGACGTTTTAGGTATGTGTGTTATGTGCAAATCTCGATACATAACACGTATGACAGCAGCTATCGGTATGCTTTTTCTACAATACTTATTTTGCATTTTGATGACTTAGCTTTTTTCCAGGTTGAAACGATAGGCGATGCGTACTGCGTGGCAAGTGGATTACACCGCAAAATTGATACGCACGCGCCTCAAATTGCTTGGATGGCTTTACGAATGGTTGAGACCTGTGCACAACACCTAACACATGAAGGAAATCCTATTAAGGTATGCCTTTGAAAAGGTTAATGCAAATTTGATTAACAATTTAGATTGATTTATGAATACAAAGGTCGAACGCGCTGAAAAATTTTTCGTCAACCCGGTAGAACTTGTCGATAAAGGTGTATCATCATCGATAAATGTATTTATTGAGTTTTTGTTGTGAAATAAGTCCACTCTATATATGTGGGAGACAGTAATAAGTACGGACACTAAACAGAACACAAGCGCGCCACCTAGAGTTGTAGTTGTAGTTGTAGTCCGCACAACTAGGTTTCCCGCGCTACAACAGAGTCTAGACGTTGTTGCGGGGCACGATCGGACACACTTTTTGATGGTCGCCATACAGAGTAGTCGTCGTCACGGAACTGTCCTCCGTTTCGCCTAGTGCCCATTTTGACCATTAAAATTATAGAAAGTACAAGTTGTTGTTCGATTACAAAGTGATAAAAATATACAGTGTTACTCTAAACGTAAATGCATTCCTAAATCTGTCCAAACGATGTCTGAAGATTCAGTTCTAAACCATGAAAGTTCCGATATATATATTCCTGTGTATTCGATTTTTATGTTTATAATCATAACAAAACTAGTGGAGTTATTTTTTTTTAAATCTCAATAAATATATGTAAGTGGTTATTCACTAAACCATTACCACTAATACAGGTTTCTTACCACAATATGACTTATTTTTATTTTCCCCATATTTCGGAACGATTATACGCTCCGTGGTCACGAGTTGACAGGCCAATGGCAGATGGCAGCTTTAAGGAATAAAGTTTTATTGAATGTCAGGATATTTTATCACCTTGATATTCAATGTTTTTTTGTAAAATGACACTTTATTATAATTACTAAACAAAGATCGAACACTTAAAAAATTCACGATTTGAACCAATTTCTCACAGCAAACCGTGCCAGACGCTATCTCAAGTAAGCGACGGAACGAACTAATTCTGAGAAATCTATAGTAAATAGACTTGTCAACTTATGTCTAAGGGTGCCGGACACGATGGCAGTGCCCTTCAGGTTTGAGCGATTTAAAACTCTTAGTGGCATTGCAACAGGACAGGCCTGTCGCTTATCATCAGGCGCACGGCCTGTTTGTTCCGCCACTTGGCATCATAAAAAAAACACACTCTATCTACCCTCTTTTGCTGTTTGTCCATGGACAAAATGGCGTGTCCATGTAGAGTGTAGCCGTCGAAATATCGGAAAATAAAAAAAGTAACCTACCGTGGTAACATACTTGTAATTTATTTGATTTACATTTGTTATACATACAACGTAACTTTATTACAATTCACTTACAATAACAATACATTTCACAAACGAAATATTGTTTATTGTTCAAAAATGGAGAGCACAAAACCATTCGATACATATAAGGACATAGTCGCAAAGACTAAGAATTATTTATTGATTAAGTTGGTAGGCTACAGACTTTAAGATTTACGAATTCATAATCTTTTCACTACGCGCATCATTGACATAATAAGAATGTGTTAAATTATGGCAATAATAATAAAGTCTCATTTATTCCCTACTTATATTCATATTCTCATTGACTTACAATTATATGGACGTCGCGGCCGCGCTAAAAAGTGTCCGAACTTATAGGGCGTTAAAATCGTATACAGAGCGTCATTCACGCTTTAGTCTTCGTTTGTTCGACTGACAGCGAAGCAAGCAAAATTAGACAGTACTGCGATGACATTACAATTTAAATTCAACGTTTTAGCTTTTTCATATTCGTTTACATGTCACTACGTTTAAATAGGTTGACTTGGGACATTTTTTTCGTAGTTTTTGTATTAGACCCGTCGTCCATTTATTTGTAAGTCAATGCATATTCTACATAAATTCGCTAATAGAATAATTCAACTAAGAATAATAATAATAATAACAATAATAATAAATAAAAAATTGAATGAATTGAATTTTAAGGATCAATAATAATTATAACACATCATTAGGGACCCCTATTCGAGTAAAGGGCTCCTCCATTTCACTCCACAGTTTCCCGTCTTTCGCCTTGCTCGTCCAGTCTTTGATAGCTGCTTTGTTTATTTCATCTTCCCATCTCTCTTTCGGCCTACCTCTGGTCATAATGTGGTTATACTGTGCTAAATTATGAGTATTTAATTCAGATGCGGATTGGACTACATACGGGAACAGTCTTAGCTGGTGTCGTTGGGAAGACGATGTTGAAGTACTGCCTCTTCGGTCATAACGTCACGCTCGCCAACAAGTTTGAATCCGGATCTGAGCCTCTGAAAATCAACGTCAGTCCTACGACTTATGAGTAAGTTCTATATCTTTTATTTTATTACCTTAGTAGCTCAACGGCGCTTCTTGCCCGTGGACCACCTGACTGGTTCTTTTGGATGGACCACAGGCAATTATTTGTTCCCGTGGTTCACCTAGCGATTTTTCTTTTCTCGTGTGTCACCTTGTTATTAAAACTCCTTTAACATTTCGATTGCAAAGACAATTATATATTTTATTGTCTATTAATTGACAATTTGAATTTAAACCAGCCAAGTGGTCCACCGAGAAGAAGCGCTCAACGGTTTGCAATATTACGAAGAAGTCCCGAGTTCAATTCCTGGAAATGATTTTTTCTAAATTGGTTCACGTCTGGGTGTTCTGAGTAGTGCTCCGGAGTGAATTTCGATGTTCTAGTACTTATGTGACAGGAAATTACTTGGCTAGAGGTATTTAAATTTTTATTGTTATGTGCTTTTAATGGTAGCACCAAAATCTATGTCAGTCTATGTTATATGAAAGTTGACGCTAGGAAAGTAAACATTGTTTCCGCTCTGCTAATACACTCAACCGGTCAACTCTGTTGGCACGAAATGTCATTTAATTTGTTTGAAAACTATTCTGTCATATCATTAGGGTGACAATTGGCCAGGTCGAATTAGAAACAATTGACGAGTGTCGTCAATTATTTCACTTTACAAATTGAAATATTACTTAATATTTAATTACCGATGAAATGTGATTCCGTTTGTTTTGTAATTAGATGTTTTGCTGTTTTTCCCGTACCGAATGGAACAGCCCACTGTTAGAGATATTTTCTTTATTACAATAAATACAGAAGAATTTTGGAATATACGGAGACGTACACACAGGTCAATAGCTGGCGCTGTATTCTCAGTTTTGTAATTTGTGATTTTAGTGCAAACGAGAGTTGATATTTAAAAGTGATATAAAGTCCATTTGCCCACAATTTCGTCTCAATTTCTGGTTATATGCTCGATGGCACTAAGTTTTTATCAATTAAATCAATGAAATAAAAAATAGCAAAACATATATAGCGTAAATAGGACTGTTCGTTGGTAAATCAAAAATAATGTAGTCAAATTAATATTTTTTGTAAATGTAGCTCCGACTAGGGTAGTTTCCATAAATATTAGACATACAGGTTTATGACTATTAACCATCTCAATAAGACGTGGCTACGGGACCTGCAAAGAGCCTGAAACTATGGTTTGTTTAAAAAAAGTTTTTGATTTAGATCCGAAATAATAATGCCTTTTTAATATCAATCTCTAAACGTTTGCGGAATTACATCTCTTTAGCAAGTTTTATTTCAATCGGTGAACGGATAGTGGATGATATCCAATTTTGTTCCAATTTGGATGGGACCATTACTGAAGTACCCACTTTCCGGCAAAAATAACCATGCAAATCGGTTCACAAAAGCCGAATCGCGTAACATGCATAAAAACACAGTCGAATTCTGAACCTTCCTTTTTTTGATTTCTCATTTGAATTAATGACATAAATTTACCACCAACAAAGTCAACGCTGAATTAGAGCAAAGCAAAAATGTTGCTGACTGCCCCTAGCGAAGTAGGAAGACACTCGACCTTTTCTCTGAGTTCACAAACTTTTATCTGTAAAGTGAACTGCACTTAATACTTTAAATTGTTACTGCAGCAAATAAAAGACGTATTAATGTTCTCTTCCTTGAAATTATCATACTGACATTTGCAGAAATCTACAAATATACCGTCTGGAATTAAGTCTCTTTGAAAACTTGCAGAAGCTCTTCGGATAATCTCGTTCGCTCACAGTTTCTTGTTTGCTCAAGAAATGCGCCCTTTTGCGGCAAGATTTCTCAGAAACTTAGTTTTTGTTTGTTTGCATTCTCAAATGTTTAAGCATCCGAAAATTTAACTCTTCTTTTGATTTATTCTGGGTTTCACAATTTATGCATGAATAGCGACAGTGAGCAAAATTTAACGAACAGGATCGATTTATTATTGAGTTTATGTTACGATGTTTAAGCGATTACAACACACTGGAATAAAATAGCGCATATTTGTTTTTTCAAACAAACCCATGTCACTGATTCTTTACAGGTCCCATTAATTAATTTAAATGTGTTGTTTCAGTGCCTCCATTAAAATAGGGAATAAGACGAGTTATGCCCTTTTGTTATTATTGCACCATACGCTTCAGCGTGTCCTATTACATAACAGATCAATAGGAGACCTCTCTAGTAGTCTCCTAACGTTGTTTTTCTTATTGCACTAAGGGCATAACTCACTGTTGAAAGGCAAAATTTTACTTATCGGGCATTTTTTATGACTCTAAAGGTACAAGTGCTCTCAACTCAAAAAATACATGCAAGTTTAACGAATAAGTTGAGATATATTTTCACATAAAGACACATAATGACTGGGAAAAAGTAGAACTAAAAGCGACTATTGTCTTATTCCACAGTATACATAAAGGTACAATTGGGCAGTCCGTTTGTTCCACTGGACACGATTGGTCATACCCGCGACTTTACCGGGTTGTTATTGGTTAATAGTATGCTTCAGAAAACTGTTCTTTATATTCCTTTAACGATTTTATGTATTTTATCAATGTGGTTAGTATCATAAGTATTGCTGTAACCATAGAACAGTCGCAGTTAAAGGACTAAGTCGAATTATGTCTTAAAGTTTGTTAACATAAGTCGTGTTATTGCCGTTAAACATTCAAAAACAAGGACGCAACTCGAAAAAAAACCTTAAAAAATATGTAGAAAACCTGCGATACAGCAGGCGAGCCGAGCATATGCTGATTTGGATACGTTGTAGCTTATATGTATATGTAAACATCAATTTAGATAAATAGCATTAATTTGATTAAAATGATAAATAACATTACAAACAAGCTTATGATATAGGTACAATGGTAATCATAAAGAAAGGCTAATCTAGTAGTGGCATTGTCTGTCTCACTGAGTCTACTGTGTCAACAAAAAGGGCCCGACTCAGCATTATGCCGCAGTTCAGTCGAACTACGACGCTGATGATTCTGTCAGGTCCTAAGGTGAGCCGGTAAAAAAAGAAGTAGCACAGAATAGAGAATCAACATGGAGTTAGAATGTAAGCTATGTAGTTATAATATTAACTGTATAGGTGTTCACCTATTATATAAGCTATAAAATGTGAACAAGGTAACTAGAAAGAAAAGAAAAAATGTGAAAGATGTATATGTGATAGCAAGAGATGTGTCGTTGTATAATAATTGTAGATGAATGTGTGTTTTGCTTAGAGATGTGTTTTTGTGTGTGTAGGTATGGAATAAGTGAGTGGAGTGCACGTGTGGTTTATATATAAGTATGAAGGATAAAGTATTTATGGCAGGGAAAATATTTTGTAGGCAGGTAGTGTAAAGGAGATTAAGGGTAATTTGTGAACTTTTGATATTTATATCAGACACGCGTCAAAATATTCTGTAGAATCTTTTTTTTAAAAGTGCGAATTTTAAATAGTAAATTGATTTAAGATTTCTTATAGGCGGTGGAATGTTATTCCATATTTTGGACGCGTTGGATATGTTATGTTTTGTTATGTTTGAGTCGTCATAAGCTGAATAAACGTTTCTTTCTTTCTATTTACTGAATAACAATTAACGCTTTATACAATTTGCAATTTAACCGCTCACGCGATACATGCAGCCGTAGACGCATACCACACCTAGAGGTGCTGGTGATGATTTTATACCGATTTATCGAATATCGAAGCTATAATAGGTAAAAGAACTAATATTAATTGCTATTTCGGTAACTACTCTAGCAAACCATAAAGTTTTTAATGCCTGGGTCTATCATTTAAAAAAAATAAACAACTTCAAAAATATGTCACGACAATCGTGTGTGTTATTGTTTGATGATTTCGGTGTTTATTTATTGAAAACATACCGTAAGTAGCGTTTTTTAAGTTTATCCTGAATATAAATGTTTATAAACTATACTTTAAGGAGTAATTTCATGGTAAACGTTAGAACTACTCAAACGGAATATTATCATATTTATCCAAGTACACCAAAAATTTCATTAGTGCTTTTTAAGTACAGGATTTGCGGTGTATTACTGCATTTTATTTGAGATGTTTTTGTTGGTAGTACGGAGGGTATTTATTTAGCAATGCAGAATAATAATTTTTATTTATAAAAACTTGTATTTAAACTGAATCCTTTTGTATTTTGCAAAACCAACTAGTCGCCATTTTGTGGTAGAAGGGCGCATCACGTGAGCGGATATTTACACAAAACCATACGATATACATATATATGCGCGTACTCGCAGAGACTAAGAACTATTGATCAAGTTGGTACAGATTTCCAAAATGTACGAATTCATAACCTTTTCATTGCCACTACGTGCATCATTGAAACAAAGAATGTGCTAAAGAAGGATGGCGACATACCGTTTATTTTGTGACCCAGTGTTTTTGACGACGTTCATTAGAGTTACCTATCCATACTTATGATTCATTATCAGAGCATCAAAAAAACTAATTGAGTACAACTTGTAGAAGCTGGGGTTATAAAGTTGATATAGATTATGTTTATATTGTACTGTATTTCACTACAGATTTTGTTCGTAGTAGCTGATAACAACAAATTTTCAGTATTTTTCAAAAAATAATAAAGAACTTGTTGAAATTAGTAGAGGCGAAGCTGCAGAGCCTTGAACACTGCCGTAAAGATCGGTATTTTACAGGATATATCACGGAGAGCGTGCGATGGAATTACACGATTTAATTCCGCCTTCCCCTTTCCATCACCGGGGGTCTAGGCGTAGGCTTGAGTTCCACCCCTATGTTGTGGATATTCCAAAGATTCGCACGAAGCGTTACGCTTCCACATTTATATGGGGAACGGCTATGGAGTGGATTTCACTGCCTGCAGACTTGTTCCCTGAACTTAATAACTTGGGTCTTTTCAAAGCGAGAATGAATAGGCATTATTTAGGTGTGCACGCTCCATCGTCGACCTCATCGTCACTTTCCA